AATGCCACGTGCCAACGGGAGGCGCTGAGAATCCCAGAGGCACGCTGGTGAGGACCCTGGGGTGCTGGATTGCTGGTGGCTTCAGGCTGAGCCTCTCACTGCCTCACTGCTGCACCACAAACTCACAGAGCATAGAGCCCATTTCCTGGACATACCTTCAAGACCCTCGGCGCCGCAACATGCTCAAAGAGACTGGCTCATTCTCTTGCAGAAAATTCACTTGAAGCTGCATAATACTCTACTAAAGGCTCAGCATAAGACAACTTTTAACAGATTCCCGTCTCTGAGATGTAGTAAATTAGGGCCACTGATGGTGATATTTAACGAAAGTACGGTTTATATGTTCGTAATGATGAACAAGCCAATTTGCTCTGTATTGCGGTGAGGCCATCTGGCCCGTCTGGTCCAAAGCGGTCAGCATTCTCACCAAGAGCAGCAAAATTCACCTAAGTGATCATAAAATCTCACGTTTACGGAACAAATAATCTGCATTTTTTTATCCAACCTCCTTCTCTTCGTGAGCTTCGCGGTCTCCAGTTATACAGCATTGTTACCAGAAACAGCCTTTGACCAACGATTCAAAAACGCTAAATATTGATGCAACCCAACAAACAGGAAGGCAGATGTTCCACTACAAAACAAAAAAAAAAAGACAGTAACTTGATCTTGACAACTGTAATTATGAGACAGCTGCTATGGAAAGCTGGTGTCACCGCCCAATGACCAATTAGATTACGTCTTCAGAGGGGCCCTTGGGCCGTGATAGGCTGTGTGATGACTGCTGCCACAATGCCACTTTCCTAATTAATCCCTGATTGTCTCTAATTCGAAACACCAGCGTGACTGCCCCAGCTTCCAGCCACCGCTGCTCTCTCTCAGGCCCTCTCTAGGAGGGCATTTACCACAAACATATGCTTCTTTGCCAACCCATAAAAAAACCTGAAGGAAATGGCTTGACGTACTTAAACAGCTCAGTTAATTACTGTAAACCATAATAACAGAATGTGCTTCTGGCTTTATATTTACTGGGGCATGTTTATCCTGAAGTGCAGGAGAAATAGGTACATTCATTCACCCTGATAAGATCACTCCCTACTTTATGCTGAGTTTGCTATTTACAGTAATTATGTTTATTGACAGAAGCATTTAAATGCTTTAACAAACAACTTTCAAGTTAATTTCTGGGTATCTGCTGGCTCACACCTCCAGGGCCAGGAGTGATTACACCCTGCTCCCTGCTCCTCCGGGTTTCCTCCGGCTACTCCAGTTCCCTCCTGCAGTCTACTGACACGCAGGGGTGTCTCTAAATTGCCCATGTTTAACATACATAACTCCTAAATGTGGCCAGTTGAATTCTGTATAGCTAAGAGCAGAGGCCCGGCCTCCCAGGGTCAGCATGGAGTCAGTCTCAGGCTTCTGAGCGCTTATCTTTGGCATTGATCAGGCTAGTGAACATTTAATGGCTGATTTTGGTGGAGCCGCTGCCAGATTACCCTCTGCCACACTCAGATCTGCCTCTTAGCTCAGTGCCACAGAACGGTCAGCGGATGGATTGTGTACGTGACAATAACTGTGGCTGTCTGTAGTTCAGACAGATGACTCCACAGCACTGACAGATGCTCACAGACCAAGGGATTGCTTCTCTAAGGACGGCCATGGGACCGGTTCCAATGGACAGCTTTTTTGCTCCTAGGTCCTACTCCGGTTCTCCTTCTTCGCTTTGCAAAACAGAACTGGAACCATTTCCTTTACAATGCCAGGACACCTGGTCCTATTCACACAGCGGGCAGCTTGTTTCTGGTACTGTACTATTACCATCTCCATCCAACCTACAACCTCCTATTCTGCTCAGGGTTGTGAGGTATTCCTGTAGGTATGTCATCTGTGTTTTGTAGATGCAAGTGTTTACAGTGTTACAGTGTTATAGTAGTGCTTGTGTGAGCACCAGCACATAATCTTTGGCCTGGAGCCACCCAGGCTGTTGAGGCGAGTATTTTGATCAACTTCAGGACATTATAAACTAGGAAACACAGGTGGGGTGCCTGTAAACAGTTCATGTCAGACTAAAACAGTTTGGTAGAGGCATGTAAACTCTCAATTTAGGTCTCACTGGACGCTTGGGAAGACCGAAAATGTTTCCTCTCAAAAACACCACTTAATGGAAAATTCCTAAATCATATTAAAGTAATTTTGCTCTAAACATGATGTTCCACAGATTCAATGGAATTTATATTATTCACCACAACTGAAGAATTTTGCACTTTGTTTCTAGAAAAAATACCTTCTAACAATACCAAGGAACGATCACTATTTTGCTGGTCTCTCTAGACCTGACAACAGAACATCATTTGACCATGGACATGCCTTTCTTTTGAACTCTGTGGGACACTTATTAAAATACACAGCCATCCAGCCTTTTCAGAATTACAAACCTGAGTATCCCATGGATTCACATAGTACTAAGGTGCGGAATATGCCCAGTCCACAGCATCATTAAATATTATCCATCTATCTTCCACAAACACTCATCCAGTACAGGGTCGTGGGGAGACTGGAGTCCATCCCAAAAACACCCTGGACAGGAAGCACCTGCATTGTTACATTCCTACTGGTATGAAGCTCACAATAACTGACAACTGACCGCCACGCTAAGAAACAACTAATTTTGGTGTAGATTCCTAACATGCACACTGTGGACAAAAGGAAAAGTCCCAGATTTCAGTGGGATCTAATTTCTGAAGAAAACCCATAAACCCAATCCAGTGGAAACAGCTGGATCTATGTCTTCACAATCACTCAGAGTGGGATTCTAAGTCACTTCAAGAACTCCTGCAGAGGTTACAAGACCCAACCGTGTTGTGCACAGCTGGGGCTGCAGGCTAGCCGTGAGGTCCGACAGAATCGTGAGATCAGAATAGCTCGTGCATAAGCTTCTAATCACGGAGAGGCTCTTGAATCTGCGTACAGCTGACACACAGACACTGTGAGACTGCCAACGTATAAAACATTTAGCCATGAAAATGGGCCCCTTTCAACAGCAAAAGTACTTCATTATTATAGCAGCCAATAAAACAATTGAAACAATCTGCTAGATTGTGATACTAGACTGAGGGCTCCGTTCTGTTGAAATAATGCCAAAACATGCTCATTTATGGGCAGAACCCTTCTGAAGTAGAGCGGGATTATTACAACCGAACACACATTTCAGGCGCCCAATTCTGAGCACTGATCTGCTGCTTAAGCCAGGCTGATAATGAGAGAGGCGGGGAACATGGAGGCACCTGCATCTGGTATGAAACTGCCCACTGCCCAGTTCCCAGGTCTGAGGATGGATGCAGTATTCAATAATCGCTAGCAGACTGAGGCCTGCCCACGCTACAGCTCTCACACTGCCACCCCTCCCAGGTCGAGTCAAATAAACTCCAGCTGGTGAGCATTCTGGCCGGACACCACTCACAAAAGACACCGTGAAATGAGTGGAAAAGAATCACGTTCCTGTAACGTCATTAGCCTGTAAATCCCTGCCGCCATTATCTCAAAGATTACTCTTGAGCTTCTTGACGACTTCCCACTTTCCTGAAACACGGTCCATCACATTGTTCGATTTTGTTTGCACTTCTGTTAAGCCTTTTCACTAACGTCCCACTGGGGCGTTTCACCTCAGATGGATAAAATTAAAATCACTGAGCTTTTGAAAGACAGACAAAACAAACTGGTAGGGATCAGGACTGCGTGTAATCACATCAAAATTTCAAGACGTGACCTACATTCTCAGGCCAGGCATTAAGAGCACACCACATTAAGACACCTGACACAGGTATAGTGGGGTAGTTACTCAGGTCTAAAGACCAAAAAAACACCCTTGTTCTTTTTGCAAATATCCATGCACTGTAGTTTGTGTCCACAGCTTACTGTGGGCTCATCACTTTTTGATAGCACTACTTTTTATAGCATCCTATGATCCCACAAAATCAGCAGAATTTTCAACAAATTACACCTGCAGTTTTCATAAGCAGCCCTGTATCTGCCAAACGCTGATATTTTCACCAGTTCACACTGCACCAGGCTGCTGCCATCCTGGGAGGGTGGAGCCCCCAGCACCACCAGCCAATGGGTCTGGAAGGCAGTGTGACATGAACCTAGTGTCAGAGAATTTGCGGGCCGACAAAAGGCAGAACGGGCAGAACTGGCCAGCGCAAGACTGAGAAGCGGCAGATGAAGATGTTCGTCACCAGGGATGGAAACAAACTTCAATCCTCAGCTCAAGATAAGCTCATAACACAGAGAAACTCCAAGAAGGGTGTACTTCGCAATGTGGGTACGAAAATTTCACAATGACTAAAACTAAATGTACTAATTACAAGAAGATCCCCCGTGACAGTGCCAGTTGCTCCACAAGAATTATGTTATCTACTAGCACTTGGTAATCTACGGCGATAATATATGGTTAACATGCCCCAGGTGGAGGATACTCCGTCTATCAGGGCATCTATGCACAACACCGTACACTCCCGGCTTTATTCACATACAAAGAGCGCTTCGGTTGTACCGTGCACCTGTGCCACTTCAGTATAGGAGAAAAACGTCCACTGTTTGCATTTGACAGAAAAAAAAATATTAATTTTAGATAAAGAAAAAGGGAAGTGTGCAATTCATGTTTGCATTCTGTATCTCACATTGCTTAATTAATTCTCTTCATCAATGGAACAATTGCACAATATAAACCTATGACGGGAACTCAACGAAATATTTAATATCCACATCGTTATCTCAGAACAAAGAAAATAATAAAATAATTTAAAAAAAAAAAAACAAAAAAACGCTACAAGCATAAATCGTCTCCGTCGCCGTATATTCGCGATACAGGCACCCAAACACAGCCTGATAGTTAAATAGTTTCTCTCACCGAATTTCCCGTCTAACTAAATATTAAAGCCAATTCAACTACAATCGTAGCGCGTACTCGTCAAGTCTGCCCATTGGCAGCAGCGGACGCAAACCTTGATCGGAGAGCTCCGAGTGGCTATGGGTAGGTCTCGGACCGCTGTTCCCGGAGGGGAAGCCGAGATGCCGACCGCACATCCCGGGGACGCTCTCCCTCCGCTGCCCGGCCGCTGCTTAATCCCATCCAGCAGCCGCACTAACAGGATGTTCGCCGGCAGCTCTTCGACTCCGCAGTCCACCAGTATCCGGCACTCCGGGCAACGGAGCTCGTTACGGGAGCTCACGATGCTCTCCAGGCAGCGGCGGCAGAAGGTGTGCTGGCAGGGCAGCACTTTGGCCGTGGTGTCCAGCCGCTCCAGGCAAACGGAGCACTCGAGTAAATCCAGCAGCGACGACTCGTCCATTTTAGCCTCTATCAATGACCATAAAGGAGATTTCCTCGATGCGCGTACAATGCACCACACGCAACACAATGCATGCTGTCTATGGTGGAGGAGCGACCGGGCTGGGCTGAGGCTGAGGCTGGAGCTCAGGCTGGGGCTGCTTTCACACACCACGGTGTGGTAAAGTGAGGTCAGACACAGAACATCATCAGCACAAAACAGCGCTGCATTCTCTGAATTGCAGCAGGACCGCAGCGGAGCTTCAGCCACCTCGCGAACACGCCTCTCCTCACAATCCCCTTTAAAAGAGCGGTGGAATAGTAACTAGTGTAACAGTAACAGCCAGCGACCATTCACCTATTTACGGTGCAGCGGCTTTAGCCTGCTTCCTCAGTGACTGTGATAAAACGACATGGTTTAACATAGGTAACGTCGCTGGAGCGGCTGTGGAAACCGCTCCGCTTGGCTTTGTAGTATGGGTCGTTGGAGCCATTATGTATTATCTGTGTATTTTTGCCTTACATTGCATTAACTCCTTAAGTTCATGGATTTTTGTATTTTGTAAACATACTAAACGCAAATGATTTAGCACAAAAAAGTTACATTTTGGAAAAATATAATACGAGTCCTATTTTTAAAATAAACGTATATAAGTTTGTATCACATTAAAGCATTGCTATTTCTGCAATAAAAACTAAACATCACAAATATAACGCTATATCTATGTAGAAAACGATGGGATTGTAGTTTGTGTGCAATATGAAACTCTCATATAAAACTGTCGCGCAATATGCCGTTGTGGCTGGGAAAAGTGTGGTTATTGTAAAGAATTTGGAAGACATCTTAATAGTTTTCTATAGTTGCATTTTTTGCCCAAATAAATAAGTGTAAGTGTGTTTCATTACTAAATGTGCTAGTAATTTTACTTCTCCGTAGGTTTGTGTGTTGAAGATAAGATTAGGTGAAAATCAAATCGTGTGCGCGCGCATTTAGGAAGCGCGAAGTAACTTAATGTTCTCCGATATTTTACCCAACTCTGCCATCTAGCGACACCCCGCTGGAAGCCGGCTTCTAATTTAATTTATGTAGCCTATTTTAACTTCTAACTTTCAATTCAACCTCAATACGTCTTTGGCTATTTGGTCGATTGAGAATTGGGATGGAAAAATTAGACTTTTTTTCTCTGAAACTTTTAATAAATTTACTTCTATTACAGAACACAGATTGTTCATTAAAATGAATCATTAAACATTTATTTGTACTGACAAATATTATGAAAGTACTCATCAGGCTGTCTAGCAGTGAATGGACATAAAACGCAGAAGTGAGAAAAAAGTTGGGTTCATTTTAAATTTCATTCAGGCATAGGCTATTTACTTATTTAGGTGTATTTGTTTGCAGTTTCCAGAATTTTTAAATTTTGATCAAAGCACTTTTATTAGGTTGAGTGTGATATGCGCATGCGCATTCTTTAAAACGTAGTTTTGGCGGTATAATTTTACTGCCGCCTCAAACGGGAGCATGACGTTGAAACAACAACGTTGAAACAAGTAAGGAAAGATATCAGAACCTGTATTTCAGTTAATGTTAGTTAAGCAATTTCCATTAAACATATTAATATCATCATATCCTTGACTGGAAATAATTTTCAGCCATCGTAACTTTCAGCCCCTGTGTGGGAAGCAAGTTACAGAACGGAGAGAGCGGGACGCGAAGAAAGTAGTTCTTAGTGTTAACATTTTGGATGAAAATATGTTCATTCCACAATAAATAATGTTTATATAAAGAAATGCGTTCTGAGTGTGAATCTAAACGTAATCAAGTTTTTTTGCTTTTATATTTAAATTATGAATGTCTTAAATCTTTATTTGATGCAACTTTAAAAAGTTAATTTGCTAAAACATTAAAAAGTGGTTTATATTAAGTTTATAATTTCAGGTTAGATTTAGTGGAATATTTGCATTAAGTAATATAGCCAACTCATTTATTTTGATTTAGAACAACTTTAAATATTTGGTTTGTTTCACCTTCAGAAATTAGTTTACATTAACTTAAAAATGTAAAGGTTAATGGTTTATTTACATTACGGCAATGCTAAAATATTAGGTGTGACAGATTACTACATCGAAGCTATTTCATCCGGTAATAGGCTACTTAATATTTGTTCAGTAAGAGCAAAGTAGCCTAATTAAAAATGTGAAGCATGATGTTGAAATGAAAATCTATATTTTTTTTAGCAATGTAATGTCAACTGACAATAAGGTTTCAAAAAGGCATTTTATGTAAGGGAAATTTCAGCAGGAAAATAAATTCGTTTTTTATATTTGCAAAGTATATACTTATATATACTTAATTGTTTGCTGTTTTCAAAATTTTAATTAGTAATTTGGCAAAAAATTAACTCCATATTATACGTTGTTGCGTTAGGTTCCTTAAAGGCAGAATGAAATTTAATTTTCTAATATAGGAAACAGAACAGCGCGATAATTTAATAATTGGATTCTAACAGCACTGTGAAATACATATAGAAAGTCTATGTTACATGTTATAATTCATCGCTGCAGAAAAAAAATTAGGAAAGCAGTTATTTATAGCTGGTCAGTACAGATAGATTTTATCGTGATCCGATTACGAGAGATTTTGTGTACTTTTCAAACTAGAAACCACGCGAAGAAACATTCGTACGCAAACTCGATCAACATCACACCAGCAATAACAATTTATGTTTCATATTTGCCTGTTTTTTCCTCTACAGATCTGGATCTGGTATTTGGTACAGAAGTAATGCGTAATGTTTTATGCGTGTAAACTAATTAATTACACGCATGGTAGAAATTGTACAATCGTCAATATGACATGTGTACATACTTAAAATTGCTCAGTGCAATAAGACGATGTAGCCGTCGTCTTCTCGCATTAGATAAACTTTGTGCTTTTTTAAAAAAATAACTATGTCATTAAAGAAAATACAATACAGCTTCTTGATGGATCCATTTCGTCAAATCACTACGTAATACATTTCCTCTTTCCTGTAAAGAAGACTGTAAAAACGCGCTGCGAGGGCAAGTCTGTCTCAAATCTTTCTTGTGACAGTTTCCTTCAGTTTAAGTGCATAGGGCGTGTTGTGAGGGTGACTCGGCGGGAGTGTGACTCGAAATGAAGGCGGAGTGTTGAGGGTATAGTTTGGGATTGGGCCAAGTTCACCTGCACGCGCGCGCGCGCACACACAATATAATATTTATAATAAAGTATTGTAATAGTGGGTTGCTGAGTCATGCTCGCAATAATTAAACAGCAAAGACAGTTCGGGGTTTAATCACCATATGCCGTTTATTACACCCGTACCACTGCAATCACACACACTAGCACTGCCCACCGTGCTCATTGCCCAGTTTACTCCTCATGCACACGGTGGGCGCACGCATACATGCACATACACTACGTACAACAATAAACATTAACCGCTATACACAACACATTTATAATAACACAAGCGATTACTGAGAACTATTCACAAGCTGACATCAGTCCAACATGTGGCGCTGCCCGCCGGTACCTCCGCGCTACAGTATTTATTTACTCATAAACTTTGCCCAAATTCTGGCCTGGGTTTTAACCAATTAATAAAAAAATCACAAAAACATTTAATGGTAATGAAAATTAATTCAGCTTTAGCAATTTAATGATGCATCCACCTTAATTATTAAAAAGTATCGATATCGGTATCGTATCAGCGATACTTGTCCTGCAGTATATTTACTTGGTATTGGATCGATACCAAACCTTGTAGTATCGCACACCACTAATCTATACAGCAAACAGCGCACGCTCTGACGTTAAACAAAGTGGACAACGGCGCACAATCTGACGTTTCGAGCCAAAAACTCTCTTTTTCTTGTCTACATGTAGACGCTGAAGACGGAGTTTCTTAAAATCTTCACCCTGGATGGAGTTTTGCAAAAACTCCATTTTCAGTGACCTTAGACGCCGTTTACGTGTGGACAAAAGCCCAAGACGTATAGAAAAAGGTACATTTTTAAAAATACCCGTATACATGTGGACAAGGCATCAGACGTGGATTAAATACACAGGACAAACCGAAAATAACAGCCAACAGGTGATCACAATCGGGAATTAACACGAGATAACGAGGGGGGTGTGGCACACAGGAGGATCGGAGGAGCAGGTCATGACAATCAGAAAGACCCAAACTATCATGGAAAAATGTCATGTGATGACATGCATCTGTCAGGCAGCTTCTGTCTCCCTACGTAGCCTAAAATAAAGAGCATCTCACATGTTGTGTTAGGGGCCTCAGCTGCAGCATCTGAGAAGCAAAGACAATGCAAACTCCTGGCACATCAGATGCACTCTTGGCTTCTGGTATGCATTGCCACTTTATTTGATGAATAAATAGGAATATGTAAATAGAGAACATATTCACTGCAGTGCTACCCGTTTCTAATTCGATATCGAAAAAAAAAACATGGAATATTTTGATATGTCAGTATTCCGTGTGTTCAGTGATTAGAGATGTGCCAAATACTGTGCCTCCCTTCACGATTTATTAATACCACAAATCTGACAAATATATAACAATAACGGTAAACCCTAATCACAGAGTTATTTCTCTGAGAAGAAATGAAGTGAGAGAAGCAAATGCTTTGGAAGAGTGCTTGTCCAAATTCAAAACAACTAGTCTCACATCATCCAGATTAGTAATTCCTTTTATCTAAATCTGACTGTGCAGTTTCTATGGCAACTACCTTTCAGCTTCCGGGGGAAACGAAATCAGCAGCAGCAGAGCTCACCTGTTGTGCCTGCATTCAGTGGAAAGGGGCGGAGCCAATGTCATTTCTCTAGAGTAGACTGGCCAATAGCAGTTCATTACAGTAAACCATAAACTGGCAAAAAAAAAAAAAAACATCAGTTCACATAAGAATCAAAAATGGTGAGTGATGACTTTTTTGCATCTTTTTATGACTGGTTACAGAACTTGTGTTTTTTGTCAAAGTGGGGATCTTTAAAACGACGCGTTCAAAGACTCTTTCATCCTCTTCAAAGTGTCTTTCCTGCCAACGGGGACAAAACAGCCTCAGGCAGGAGAGGGATGGATCAGCTCATCAGCTTCAGTACAACGGGTTACTTTGCCATTCAAGAGAAAGTCCAGACCTCTGTGGCCGAACAACAGTCTGAATCCCACATTTTTGCAGATCATTGAAGTCATCCAATCACACTAGTTTCCCAATCCCTTTTCTTTCAAACAATATCCAATGTACAATGGCGTACATTAAAAAGCCATGATGAAGAGCAATGTTCTTTAATGACTGGCCATTCTGCTCCCCTTCCTTTATGCTTTGCCCACATCTGCCTTCTGGATTCTTTTCCAGGCAACCTTTTCATTGATAAGGATTGATGGGATTATTATAAAACAATACCCTATAAATCTAATTACAATAAGTAGCCACAAATATAATTAAAACTACATTTCTGCAAATCAAAAAATTATGTGTTACTTCACCTCATTATTGCACCTTAATCAATACCACAAATCAGTAGTCATTAAGTTCGGTTAGTTTTTCCAAACCTCAGAGAAGTTTAAATGTCACTTTAAAATTGTATTTGAAATGCGTTTAATATTTTAAATAATATACATATTCCATTTCCCCTTCTGGCTAGCCTACTACTATGCTTCTTAAAATACCACTTAGAAATGTCAAAATTATAATTACAGATCAAATTGCAGACCATTTTGACTTATTTAGATGGGAAATATAATTATGTAACAAGAATAAAACTTCAAGTTTACACAATCCTGCAACAAACACACACACACTAATTGTCAAGGGGCAGATTTATCACAAAGAGCCGGAGAGAGAATTATGAGGAGCCTTCAGTATGGGAGGAACGGCTGGTTTTACAGTGGTTCAGTATAGTGTAACTGCATGAAATCCAGTTGAAAGGTCAGTTAGATTGACTGCCTGAGGTTATACTCCTGACACAATGGCAGTCCATTTACACAAATTCTTCTTTGTTTTCACATGATCCAAGATAACCCAGTTCCTCCCGGAGGACTGAGTAACACAAACATGAACAAACTGACAAGATTAAGATATCATCTAGCCTGTGATTCCATTATACTCTGAACTACACAGACACTCTAATAAACATATTTCATGTACATAATTAATATATCAAATGTCCAATTTTTTCTCAGAATAAGGCAATTAAATGACGAGAAGGTCCTTTGGTAAATGTTCAAAAAAGTTCCAAAATGGTCAGCCTGCAGGTTTGAAGATTCCCACTCTTAAAACATTTAAATATTATGACATACCAGTGAAAATAGCTTAAAAAATAAAACAAAATATTTTCGAAGGAACGAAAAACGATATAAGGAAATGACACTAAATTAATAAATATGTAATCTGCATGTTATTTTTCATAACTAAGACTGGGCGCTACACAAAAAGTAGAAAGAAGTCTGTATATCAAGAAGTAGAAATTCGTTTGTATAAATTTTAAGCTCGCCCTCTCTAAACTGTCGTACTCCATAGATACTTCTTAATATAATGTAGCAAAATACGTGGACCACCATCAAATTCGATGTTTTAGTTAAAGCTGCATTTCTTTCTTTCTTTTTTTTAAGATATTCAGTACCACCAGATGGCGGTACAGTCATAGTTGCTGTAAAGTTGCCGTTGTCTACCTGAGGCAGGTTATTTTTTTTTTATCATACTGAGGGCGGATGGGACGTCTTTCTTTTTTCTTTAGGAGGAGCTATAACTTCCAAAGAAATCATGCACCCACCACACAGGACCTCTGAGATTTCCTGAGAGGATCTGTCCCCGGGTGCTGGGTTATACTTTTGCTCAAGAGTCACTGGAGTCAAGAAGATGACTCCACAGACATTGAACTGATATTCACTCCGTTGTTAAATCAAGAAGAAAAAGTTTGCAGGAAAGGAAATCTTGTTGGAAGACTCGCATTTATCTCCAGGTAAGGCGTTACTGGCTTCTGGAATGTGGGAGGACGCGGTGGAAATTGTTAGATATTTTATGCTGCGAAGAAACGCTACATAGGTCTATGCACGAGATGTTATATCCCAATAGAGGGACGTACAATTTAAGGAGGTGCTGCTCTGCTTGCAGTAACGCTTTTATAAAACAGAAGAGCAGCCTGCGCATGCTGCTACAATACATTTTCTTAAGAGCATGAGGTTTCGTCTGTGTATAGGTGCCACAACTGTTTGGATGAGGGTATTTGATGATGATCATCATAATGAGGAGGAGGAGAGCCGCTGGTACTCAGTGGTGGTGCATTTAATGAGCGGCGGTCATCCCGTTACCTATACAGAGAGTCATCCACGTACATCTAATGAGATCGATGATGTTTTATCGCTCCCTGTATGCCATTATAATTTATTAAAAGCTCATTTTCATATATCCATATCACTTAACGCCTCGTACGTGTGCAGCCATTGTTTTTACGGGGCCCGTTTGTCCCGCTGAGCGAAAGCCCCGGGGAAGTCCTGTTCGGAGGCGCCGGAGCCGGGACGTGCGCCTTCATGCCGCCCCTCTGATGTCTCTCTGACTTTGAACTGCTTCTCAAGGTGCGAAGCGACTCTGGAACTGACCTCTTTCATGTGCTCAACTAAAGTAACTGGAAAAAGTGCGTCTCAAAAGCTTCAAAGGTGAACATTATAGCGACAGATACCGAGAACACTCACTAAATTACTAATTTTTGCATGTGCACATCAAAAACAAAAACATCACAACATACAAACATATACTGTACAACTACCATAGAAGTACACATAAAAATACTTGAGTCCTTGATTAATGACCTGACGATTTTCTAAATTCATCAGGTGTGCTGGCATCTCATTTTTAGTTATTTAATGTGCTTCAAGCATAATTTAAAATGTAAAGCATACCAGGTAGCCGCAAGTGCTGTCAAATGCCCGAGGGCCTTAGAAACAATTTTTATGCTGAGGAGATTTTATTACACTGTAACTTAGTATTACATTCAAATCTCTATTCAAACATGTAAATTACATTGCTGACCAATGACGATAGTACCGAAACTCAAAAAATATTAACAGTGAAAAAGAACCGTTTGGTTTCCGCAAACAATGGAAACTTAAAACTTGAAAATTGAAAAACAACTGAAAAGTATTGTTATACTTTTCTTTGTACCTCCAATGTAAAACCTTAAATACGGTTTACAAATATGCATATTAGTAGGCCTATGTCATTTTGCAGATTTACCATAAAATATAAAGACACACTGCACACTAATATATCAGTTATTTAAACTCATTTTTTTTTCAATGTTGTTTTCGTGTAAAAAATTTATATTTGTTTTCTCGACTGTTAATCCACTGGTGACAGGGTTTTTTTCCCCTTGGTTTCATTGGTTTCCAATATATAAATCTAATAATGATTTGTATCATAGAGTTCCTTTGAGTTGCAATAAGGAGTGTATACTCTGTAATTATAATCTATATAGTTAGATTAACCTTAGCTGGCATGTCAATTCCTGTTTACTTTCCAATAGACTTAAAGAATTTTATTAGTGATGTGTTAACAGTATTACTGCTAAGAGAGGACCAGCATGTTAATGCGATACAGGGATACTAAATGCTACACTGCAACATGGTCTGTAAGATTCTGCCGGGCAGTCAGCTTTTATTAAAACACAGAAGCAGGGCTGGGGTGCTGCAGGCCTCACCTCCATCTTCTCCATGCCAGGAAGGACCACAAAAGTGCCCTTAGGAAGCCCCCAGTGTGGGTAATGCGAGATCAGCAGTCCTGGGGCTGTTACAGATTTATAAGGGAAAATCAGAGCCCCTCAAGCTGACTGGGGACATGGCTGATGAATGGCAGGCAGCGAGGATGTCCATGGGCCTTATTCATGGAGGCGAGGCGGAGAGGTTCCACGCTTCACGTTTGTTATGACTGTCCTTTTAGCAGAATGCTGAGGGTGACTCTGTAATTAAAGACAATGGGTGTTGCGCCTTCTGAGATTCAGCTAATGGAGACAGGCCTCGACGGTCGTCCCAGAAAGGCACTTTGAGGGGCTTCAAAATGGCTTCTCCCGAAAAAGTAACAAAAGAACAGTTAGGTAGAAAGGGCAGCACTGAACGCTGAAGCATGTGGGGCAACTCAAAGTAAAATGCAGCCGATTACAGTGCAGGTTTGCACACGGAAATGCTCGTGGTACGTACGGTTTGTGAAACTGGTCAGAGCCCATCCACGGCTCGTTGATGTCACACCACATGACGGGAGCATTCATATCTATGAACATCTGCTTCTATGTCCAATTTAGCAAATTTCCCAGAGTTCCCCAGGGACAGCCCGCTTGTGGTTCGGTGAGGACTCGTTCAAATCAGGATGGGGAACAAAGCTGTGAGGCAGCAACATGCTGACCTTCTGATTTTCTTGATTGAACATCGATCCCAACATCGAGTTCTGGCCAGCTACCACTCACTGCTGGTGGTCCTGATTGAGCACCGTGGTTGAAAAAACTGAGTGAATTTCAGGAAATCCGAGCAACCAGCTTTGCTTGTCGACCTTAGTGAACACTCCAAGACAGATGCTATTAACCACCAGCATGCTATTTCCCATGCAGACTCAGGCCAAAACTGATTGCTTTGCCCTGCATCTTGGCCATCACTGTAGAAATTTGCTGTTCTGCAGAACAGACTATGGCTATACCTGCCTTCTGATCAAGATGCTATATGGGGCTCAGAAGAAGCCTTTGTGTGAATGTCCTACATGGGATTATAGTCGTGCCTGTGAGTGACAGACAAGCTCATTTAAATTGACTTGTCACAGTACTGTCTGCCCTTCATCCTTCTGGTGGTTCACCCTAAAGGGAGGATTAGACAAAACACAACCCCAGATTTCTTTGGGAAAAGCACATTCCTTTGCAAACATCCATATCTGTGTGATAAACAGGCAAAACTGAGGGTGACACAGAAGTATTTAAATGCTGCATTTTTTCTCATTCCATTGTTGCAGATTTAATATAGGCAAAATTATGTGTGTGTGTATGTGTATATATATATATATATATATATATATATATATATATATATATATATATATATATAAAACAATGCAGATTTGCTGCTTCCTGAAAACTATATTGAAAGACAACAAAATGTCTGCATGTCATTTGCACAAGTTCCAGTTTACAAAGATTAATATTTTGCGTAACTTATAAATTAAAATAAGTTATATGGCTTGTTAGAGATGGTTCAGCTCAGCTGTGAACAAATTAGTCATTGTCCATCCTTCTGAATTGGTGATACATAAGTGCAGGAGAGGCTGAATGACAGTGAAAGGTCTGTACAGTCTTATAACCATACAGGGGTAAAGGCATTATAGCACAGTACTGGGTCTCGTTTATAAAGCAACTTTACTTTGTCCAGGGCAATGAGGAAATAAATCAAAAACAGACAGCCAGTAACCTCAGTCCAGACTGCTGAAATTAGCAGAATCTGAGCTAATTATGCGGTTTGTTTAATTTTCATTAGAGAAGAAATATGGAGTTCGGCTTTTTTCTTATGTTTCCATACTGATTATTTAATTTGAAAAAGCTATTTCCTAATCTGAATAATATTAATGAACAGAGACATGCATATTAATAAAAAAAAGCAAAGCTTTTTGTTCTAGGTCGTAAAGGCTAAGAAGGACTCCCTGGCCCTAATCATGAGACATTGTTAGAAGATGGATGGATGGATGGATAGATGGATGGGAGCCATGACCCCTCAAATCACAAACCAGTACACAAGGGTTGTTTTGAATTTATTAAGATGGTTCAATTGTATGGATAATCTGCAAATCTTCAGAAGTAGCCTATTTTCCAAAAACATTACACTAGGAAAACTTTGAAATGTATTTGTTTTTCATCAGTGTGGATATTTGATGGTTACTTTCCTGTTTCCTCGCAGTTTTTAGTTTTTGAAAGCTGTGGGCACTTCTACATCTTTATTTACAGCCATTTAGAAATTGGCCTTAACAGTAAAAAGACATAATTTGCTTTCCTAGCACTCAAAACGCCGTCTTTGCCATTATAAAACACTTCTTGCAACATCGCTTTCATTGAAAGTGTCCTGCTGACAGGTAACCTAACTGAATGGACTTGGAGACTTTGCTGATTTTAAAAGCAGAAAGGACATTAAATCCATCCTTCCAAATGGAATAGATACTAAAGTTTTGTTACCGATAAGGATAATGATACTGTGTGTATTTATCTTAGATTATGCAGCCGTTAGAAGATTATTAACCTGAGGCCGCCTTTCAAACAGGCATGTCCCGACAAGGCGCCACTCGGTGGAGGTGTCAGAGGCATGCTTACTCCACAGACATGCCGGGGAGCCTGCATACCAGCCCCCAGCCCCAGGAGCCGGCACTGCCGTCTGATGAAAGTGCTGGGCGTGTGTGCTCGTTTAGGCTCATAATGAGCGAGAGGCTTGGGGGCACACTCATTTGGCAGCCGCTTTACTTCCTTTAAAAACAAAAAAAGGTTTTAAAGTTTTTTTTTCCCCCCCTCTCAAACAGAGCTAAATGATCATCGATAGACAGACGCTCTCTGTCGGCCCAGTTGTGGTTTTACTCTGCACGATGATTCAGACGATTAATCATAGTTTGATTAGAAATCCAGGTCTTGTGAGTAGCAGGATCTATAATTAACAAGGATCAACACTATAAGAGACGTGACCTTGCTTTAATTAGGCAATACTGCATGGCTCCGTCCCGCCATTGAAAAACACTTAGATCATATTATTGTATATCCTTTGTATATATAACACCACATGCATTGAAACTTCCTGCACACGCAATTTCTCAGCTAGAAATAGCTTTGGGTCTCGACGTCTTCCTGAAGTGCATTAATGCTGGGGCTGGAGAAAATGGATGGGTTATAGAGAAAAGCGTGGGAGACGCGGGTTGATGTGGGTTATGTTGACTGCTGAGGATTCAGTGCCATAAAAGCCCCCACATAGCGCGTTCATTTTTTCATACAGAACTTATAAAACAAACCCTGTAATGCCTGAGAGGAATTTAAAGGATAGTGCTGTACCTGCATCTGAAGTGGGCTTAAGTGCACCAGATTCGCGCAAATAATGAGCTGGTGAATGTGGGAGCTGAAAACAATACGGACACTGAGAAGGGAAAAGGCCGGTGGCTCTGCGGGGCCTGTTGCTTCTTGTGTCTGCCGCAATTATCTGTCTGCAGGAGACTCGCTAATGCTGCCGCTCGCAGCGCCGGCATGGGAGTGCTTCTCATTTGATGAGATGCATTTGTGGCCCTTTATTTACAGTATATAACATTTCTCTTTAATTTTGCCAGCATTTCCTGCCAGTGATCAGTACAGAGATGAGTTAAGCGATAATGAATTTCGCATTCCAGTGTTGTCATTGCCATGGAATATAAGTACTCAGTATTTTTAAATATATAAATAAAACTTAAATAATATGTATATTAGAGCCCTGCTTGATAGTTTTGGAGGATGAAAAATGCGTTCAACTGGATATATTTAAATCTTTGAGTTTTAATAGTCCATATGACCATCTTCTAATCCAGTTCAGGATCACAGGGAGATCTAATAGTATTTCACACAAAGTGAATGGAGTTTAAGTGTACGGCATTCCCTTTGCTAATCTCCTCCCTTACTTTAAACTCCTGCTCTGTGATCCAACTTGCCCTGAAGAAAAGGTATCTAATGTTCATGTAGATGAAAAGAACAGCCATGCCCTTCCCTGTCAGAGCAGAGTGAATCATAGGGGTCGATTGCGACGCTGCGCAAGTTACGGTCATTAGCTGGTCATTAGCTTCTTATAAGTGAAGCCATGTTGGTCAGCTTCATCTCCATCCAGCTGTGAGGAAGCTGGCCAGGGGTCTCCAACTCCAACAGTGTTCAAAAGGAAATGTGTCCATCTGACCAGCTGTCCTCAACCACACAGGACCCAAGGTCGGGGATGGCAGTCTGAGAAAAATCATAAAAGCAAAACTCTTCCAGGCAACAATGGCCATGTGATGACGGCCTTGCTTTTGTTGAAAGCCAACCTCACATACTCACCCATTACCTGAAACACACACACTCCTTCCCCCTACACAAACACAATTTAGAAAAATTAAACCATTAGCAGTATGACTGGTAGAAGTGTGCTATCCCATTACATGTGCCGAATTTGACAGACTAATTACAGTCTTTTAAAATTTTGTTAATGGGACCAACCCCATCCCCCCCCCCCCTTTTACTTGCTGTCTTTTGTGGAGTTTCATGGGAGGGTCTCTGTCTGTGTCCCTCGTACCTCCAGGGCCACTGTCACACTGCTGTCACCATGACTAATTACATTACTAGCTTGGACCAATCATACTCTGATCAAAGGTCTCCAGCATTCGGTTTTTGATTATTTCCAAATTGTCTATGCCTCCATTCACTTTGGGGACATGTCACAGGATGTTCTTCATGTATATTTATACTCTAATGTATGTGATTACAAACGTCCGTTTTTTTGCAGGCTCGTTTGTTTAAAGGCTGGCTTTGGAGAGAGACCCTCCCTTTGGAAGCCAGGCCTGAATATTTGTAGAAAACCTCAAAATGTTTCCACATTTTTTCATTTTACTTCTCAGAGAATGAACTGAAAATTGCTTAACACTTTAAAAATAGAACAGGCTCATTTGCTATTAGCTGTGGGCTAAATTACCAAATGTATAACAACATTCACTGTGCCGCCATATCAAACTTTCCCATATGGTAAGGGCCACTTTCCACAGGAGTTATAAACATCCCGGGCCGATACGCTCCTTTAAGTGGGTGGCCATGTCTGCCCCCGTCATCCTCCTACACCACAGTCCATGTTGACTATTTGATTTCTGTCTGCCATACTCTGAAAAGCTCAACAGTCTGTTGGTCACCTATCCTGGAAGTGGTGAAATGCTATAGAAAATCTGAGGATGATATTTTGGCCCTTTTGACTGGGGCCAACAAGGTGAGAGAGCAGAAGACCTGAGCTGGGACAGCATCCAGGCTTCACTGTAACCCTGCACTAGATTGTGAAGAATGGATGGATTTCCAGACCCCTTGCTGAAAGTAATGCCTGCCTTGCTATGTCTGCAGATCATGGCGTGCAGGTGAATGTTCTCCATTCCCAGAAACTGTGGATGTAGCACAAGAGTGCAAATGATCTTAATTCAAACTGTCAGACGCCGAGTCATCTCCCTTAAATAAAAACGCTACTTATTACCCTTTAATGAAAGAAAGGTGAGCACTGTTATTATGTATTTGGGATTTTGCCAGCATCTTGCTGCTCCCCTGTAGGTATCTGGGAGGGTGGAGACCCTGGACAGGTACTCCCCTGCTATTTTCAAGGGAAAGAATTGCTCTAAACATTATTACACCTTCTCAATAAATACTTATCACATGTATACCAACAAATGAGTCACCTTGGGGAGGGTGGCATGTTGGTGCAGTGGTTAGGTCTGTTGCCCCACACCTCTGGGACCAGTGTTTAAGTCACTGGCATGGCTCCATGTGTGGAGTTTGCATGTTCTCCCCATGTCATTGTGGGCTTTCCTCTGGGTTCTCTAGTTTCCACCCCCAGTCCAAAAACACACTGAGATTAATTGAAGTTACCAGATTCCCTGTACTGTAGGTGTGTCAGTGTGCCCTGCAATGAACTGGCACCCCATCCAGCATTGTTCCCTACCTTGTGCCTATAGCCTTCAGGATAGACTCTGGACTCCCCATGACCTTGAATGGGGTAAGCAGTTACAGAAGATGGACGAGCCTTTTTAAACATACCTGTGACCCAGTATAGTTGTCCTTGCCAAAGGAACCAGAATAGAAACCAGACATGAAAACAGTGCATTTGTTACGCAGACAGATATGAAAGAATCTAGAATATACTGTATACTTCACTGCATAAAAAGCGCCCTGTTCATAATTTCACTAACAAGAAAGAGTTGAGATCAAATATCTCTGTTGGCTGTGGGAAATGAAGCTAACATGGTCGAGCATGACAGCATCTAATGATGACAAATGGCCTGCCATGAGTGAGGCTGGTACCAAGCTAATTACGTCATTACTGTAACTTTACATTTCCCATCAGGCATCGTCAAGCGGTTCAGCTCAGTCACTTGAGCCATATTCTGCAAGTTCACTTCAACCCCTTGTGTTTCTCGAGATCTTCCACAAGAAAACACTTGGTCAAACTTGTTACTCTGTTTATCTGTAAACAACACAAGGTGAAAAGGGTGCTTTGTGCCTCGGTTAATTGTCAGCCACTCAAAGGCTAGAGGCTGCCAGTGAAGGTCGATATGATTGGTCAGACCACTGTAGGTTTTCCAATCAAGAAGGGAGCTGCAGACTGATTCTCAGCACAGCAGTCCTCATGGTCTGGATACAGACTAATGGGGCAGTTGGATTTCTGTGTAGCTACAGTGGTGGATGTCATGGGGACACCTTCCATCAGGTTCGTTAGCTTTCACTGCAGCTTCTTCCAGTTAACAAATGCCACGTCCAACCTCACGATGCACACGTTCACACACGTTTGCTGCTTACCCAATGTCAAGCTGTCAGAGTGCTCCTCTGAGCAAGATGGAGCAGCGTGGAGACGCTTCGAGCCCCGGGCACGAGTGAGCGGCCTTTGGGCTCCTGGAGGAGGGTCAGAATACCTCACAAAGATCCTCAGGGTCCACGGCTCCCCGCAGGCGAGAATTACTGGGAAAATGAGCTGAGACAGGTGGGGCTTGCTGACATGCTCACCATTCTCTATCCCTCCCTCCTTTCCAGCATTCCCAGGGGCCAGACGGCACCATGATGATTCAGGGAAGGACCCAGAAACACTCATCCCTGCTCCTCATCCTGCTGGTGAGTCTCCATCTAACACGAGGTCAGCGGCCTTCAGTGGGAGAGCCAGTTCTTACTAATTATTGCAAAACAGGGAAATTCAGTTCTAAAGTTTTTAATCTCTCTTCAGCTTCCTCTTCAAATATATTTTTTTAGAAGTTGACTTGAATATGATTTTGTAAAGCTCATAGGAAAGCAGGGATTTAATTTCAGTTTGCGCTATTTTAATTATACCCTTTATGTTATCTCTAAGATCCCTTGGATAAGCCCCAGTTAGCAGCAGACTAGTTATTTATCTTCAGCTGGGAAGCTTCAGCAAACTGTTACCTGACTTCCACAAAACGCCAGTGTTGCAGGCAGTGACAGGAGAATTGCAGGACACTGATACAGCAGGTGAATCACGCAGATAGGATTGGTACATGTTAGCATACTCTGTCATTGTTTATTGTGAGGTTTATGGTAGCCTTGGGTCAATCTGCTTGAGCCTATGTGCTTGTATGCCTCAGTGTTATTCTTCCTTTAAAGAAAACCAAGCAGATTAAAATGACTGTTCTTTCCATGTATTTTGTGTCCCTGTTCTTGAGAAAATGAAAGTTACTTTTTCTTGTGAGTCTTATATAATATGGGTGATAACCTTGGGGACACGGTGGGGGCCCCAGCTGCTTTACACCCCGGCGGGCCCTTCGCTGCATGTGGAGACAGCAGAACCAGACCCGCCTCCAGCCACTAGGGTGCGGTGGTGTGCCCAGCTGGTCCTACTTAAGAGACACACGCCTGCATAAAACCAGCAGTTAGGAAATAAGTCAGTGACAGGCCCTTTAAAAGTGACATCTACTATCTGCTCCATAACATCTGCAGAGAACAGGCATCAATTTTTCATTTTTTTTTTGGCAACATTTTACATTTCAATTGTTCATCCTCCATAACTGCTTATCTGATGTAGGTTCCCACTGGGCCAGGAGCCCATCCCGGGGAGGGGGGGGGGGGGGGACACCCTGGACAGGATGCCTGCCATTGCTGTTAATAAGATGATTATGAATAATGAATGTCACTGTTGTCACAGCTCTGTATGTCGCTGTGCAATAAAACTTTAAAAGTAAACTGCACACCAGGCCGAGAGGCATAGCACTCCCTGTTACCCCAGCCAGCCATCAAGCATAAATCGTTTATGTTAAAGTCCCTTTAACAAAAATATTTCACATTTTAGTTACAAGATCAAGTTGCACTGGAATAGCAGGGCTGACATTAACCAGCTCAGGTTATAATTTAATGTCCTGTCACTCCTCACATCCATCCATTACCGCTAAATGCAGAGTTAAGGTGAAACACAGCCTACACCGGGATTTACAGGGTGCAGGGGGATCACCCAGATCTGCATACCAGCCCACGGGGGGGATACAGAACCTCTACAGAACATCCAGAACCAAACACATAGCAGAATACATAGAACCACACACACAGCAGTACACCCAGAACCACACACACAGCAGAAGACACAGAACCACACACATGGAGCAGAACTCCCAGAATCACATGCATAGCAGAACACAGAACCATAGACACAGCAGAACAAATAGAACCACATACATAGCAGAACACACGGAACCACACATACAGCAACATACCCAGAACCACACACACAACAGAACACACAGAACCACACACACAGCAGAACACACAGAACCACACATACATTGCAGAACACACAGCAGAACAAACCACACACAGCAGAACACACAGAACCACACACAAAACAGAAGACTCAGCATCTCACACACAAAGCAGAACACACAGAACCACACGGCAGAACACACAGAACCACACAAACAGCAGACATACAAATCACACAGACAGAACCACACACACAGCAAAACACTCAGAATCTCACACACATAGTAGAACACAATCACACCTAGCAGAACATAATCACACATAGCAGAACACACAGAACCACACAAACAGCAGAACACACAGAACCACACACACAGCCGAACACACAGAACCACACACACACAGCCGAACACACAGAACCACAGGCACCATGAGCACAGAGTTGGAGTATTGCAGTTATGTGCCTATGATGCCACTTACAATACTGCCTGTCACCCTTCTTGAGAAGCTATAGTTTAAAAAGGAGTGTAGGAAATGTGTTAACCACCATATGTAAAAGAAACTGCACCCTATCATATTCCATTATGCATTTACACATGACACATCTGTCCCATGTTCTAAATTAGCTTTCTGATGGGGCAGTTGCTCAGTTTACCTTACTGCCGCTTTTCCCAGGTATCCACCCTGTCTGTTCTGAGGGCTGAGTACTCCACCTGTGGCGAGAATGAGTACTACAACCAAACAAGAAGCAGCTGCCAGGCATGTCCGGAGTGTCAGCCTGGCCAGGAGCCCTACATGGTAGGAGTGGCACCCCCAGCTGGTGAAACAGAACCCCTGCACTCACTCCATGAATTACAGCCTGTAGGAAATCATAGCATTTTGTTTTATATGCATCACACAGCTTTATGTCTTTGCTTCTGGTGAAGATGAATATTTCCATTAATATTTGATCTCACGTGCTGGCATCTTGAGAACAAAATCACTGTAGTCGTGAGAAAACATCTTGCAGAAACCTGTTTCTACATCCGATTGTTGCATTTCATCCTGCATTTGTGGACCACCCAGGGTGTACCTACCTGACTGAGAGTGTGGGTTTATATGCAGAAACAGAAAAGCTTCCATTTGAATGTTTTATAATTAAACACAGCGTTAAGTGGGCTTCATGGCACAAGGAGCTGTGACAGCTTGAAGAGATACATGCTGCATTCAAGATTCAAGATCTTTCTTAAGCACACTCAGTTACAAAGAAACAAAATGCAAAGATGCAAAGTGCAAAACAATACAGGAGAAAGCAAAATAGTACCAATAGTCCAATACAAGACAGTACAGAACAGGCTGTTGGGGTTATTGTGCAAGGAGTTGCCTGAGTCCTTGACTTACAGGTGAAATCACTCATGTTTTGCCCAGCTAACATATTTTGATGAGTGACTCTGGCACAATAGGCCTCTTTAAATGTGCACAGCACAGAGATCAATGTGGCTGAAAGAGAGACAGAAACAAACACAGGCAGACAGACAGACAGACAGACAGACAGACAGGTAGATAGATACATAGAGACAGACAAACATCACCAGTCTGCAGCTCCATCTTCCTAGGACAGTATTTCCAAAGTGACCTATGAAATAGATTTCCTGTTTTTTTTTCTTGTTCATATGGCTGGACATTTAATCATCATCACTGGAGAGTATCTCAGTGGAGCACAATAGCAACATGCAATGCAAAACTTAAAGCCTTAATACTCATAATAATGTTACATTGAGAGATTAATTTGCTTACTACATGCCTTGTGTTTTAAGAGATCTTTTTCACCTATATTTGGCTTTGTTTTCATAACACAAATACATTTGATCTTTCTCCTGTATGGAAACATTTTGTTCCTTGATCAGCTCCTTGACCAGAAGACCTTTAAAGAATGAAATTTCTCCCACAAACCACATGTTCGGTTAATTGACATGTCAGCATTAACCTGTAATTGAATTTCAGTTTGATCTCTAATACCCCTGTGCTGAAAAACTCCTCGAATAACACTCACATCGAAAACAACTGACCCCGACACTGAATCCTGGCCTGAAAAGCCACCCTCAGATTGGGCACACTTTTATCATGCTGGGCCCCTGAACTTCAAAAGGCTTCCTTTGGATGAAAGATGATAGAAATTAAAAGCAAAGAGTTTTCTTGCGAGCCCTGTGATCCTGGCCAGGGAAGCAAGTGGGAGCTGAAGCAGAAAGTGGTCTGCAAAGTACCTGTGAGTCACATGTACAGCAGTGAGAGTAGAAAGGATCAGCAAGGATGATAATATATTTTAAAGAACTATTATAGCTGTAGCATAACCAACAGAAAACATTGTATACAGATATATAAGAAATGATATTACTGACATGACAGAAGCACAGAAAAATACTCGAAAAGAAAAATATAACAACCTGGAGCTTTGTCAGAGACTTTTGTTCTCAACATGTCACATACATAAGTTCAAAAGAGCTCATCACTTAACAGAAGCTGATCAATATCCTACAAAGATTTTTCCTAGTGCTAGATATTCACTGGTGTGTGTGTATGTGTGTGTGGGGGGGGGTTATATTTATATTACATTGTGGGGACCAAATGTTGCCCACAATGTAATAAAAACCTTTTATATTTTGACGTTATGGGGACCATTTTCCAGGTCCCCACAAAGATCTGTGAATGCGATCAAAAAACTAAAAATGCCGAAAGCCTCATATTTTGGTTGGTTACTAAAGGTTAAGCTTAGGGCTCGGTAGGGGTAAGGTCATCATGTTGGGATTAGAGTTTCCCCCATAGTAATGAATGGAGAGTCCCCACAAAGACATAATTACTAACCTGTGTGTGTGTGTGTGTGGGGTGGGGGGGCGGGGGCACTGGGAAAAGGGAAAATGGGAAAATCATGTTGGTCACAAAAAATCAGAGAAAATGACAAGGAGGGTATCTAATCACTAACAGATGGTATGATGGTGAGTACCACATCTCTGTGGGCTCATGTCTACTGGTACCAGTCACAGAAAATAGCATCAGTCGTTAAAGGAGTATGTCTCAGTCACTCAATGTTTATGTCACAAAATGACACACCAAATAGATATATTTATTTATTTATTTAGTTGATGACTGTGTTATGCCTCTGAGAACTGTGGCACCGAAGAGCTGAACTTATGACATCATATGCCAAATAACCTTTTAAGCACTGAGCAAATGAACATTTGTAATTAAACGGAGATCTTTTTAGAAACACGGTCCCACTGGTCTTGTAAATTACACAAGTGTCAGTTCATTTTGCTAAACAAACAAATGAATAAGGATAATTGATTAAAACAAATCAGTGATGTTGGAAAATCCCATTTAGACACCAGGGAATTCTGTAATTAAAATATTTCTGTGCTTGTCACAGTCGGCCTGATGCTAGCTTATTGGCAACTCGGCTCGGCAGTGCTGTTTATGAATGGGAGTTTACTCTGCGTTACGGGTCATGAGGGCCACCACACTCTTTTTTCACACTCACGGTTTTCCCGTCACAGACCACACACAAGACTACATGGGTCTCTTTATATGGATCTGCAGTTTTGGTTAATCCCCACTGGCCAGGTTGTGGACTAAGCGTGTGGTGTTCCTGACTAGTAGGAGACAGTCTAACCAGGGGTCTCTCTCTTTATTGCAGAGCTGTGGTTATGGCGTCAAGGACGAGGACTATGGCTGCACACCGTGCCCCACTGGGAAGTTCTCCAAGGGAAAGTATGAGATCTGCCGACGGCACAAGGACTGCGATTCCTTGTACCGCGCCACTGTGCGGACGCCGGGAACCTCCGAGAGCGACGCCGAGTGTGGGCCTTGTCTGCCGGGGTGAGGCCCTGCCCCATCGAGGGGTCATCACAGTGGCCTTAAAGCCAAGCCTAACGATGTAGCATAGCCTGATTATGCTCAATAAATACAACAGTGTAGATACATTTCCGCAATGATAAGGCAAGACCTTTGTATGAAAGCCACTGCATAGAGCATGGATCTACGGCCAGTCTGATTAAGAATATCAAACCGCGTACCCCGGGAATGAGGTCGCTGTGATCTCACTGATGGTTTGTAGCTGCCACAGGCTGGATTTCTCACGACCTCGCCTGTCAGAACCGGTTACTTTGATGCAGTACAGTCTTAATAAGTAGCACATCATGAGAGCATATGAGGGAGTGACTGCCTGACTACAGAATGAGGAGGACATAAACAAGGGGGGGGGGGGCAAATTTGGGAAAAGCAATAAGGCAGAGCGAGATGGTGTCAGGTTTGGCCATATGCTTTACTGGGGCAACAAAGAATCGCCAAGAAGGCCATGGCCAGGCTCACATGGCACGAGCCCTCCAATGCCCACAGTCATCAGCATGGTCAGTCTTCATACCAGCTCCAATTATTACAATCATGACTATGGTCAAAGTCAACTTTATTGTCACTGTGCACATGCATACAGGGGTGGACAGACTTCTCTGGGGGTCCTAAGCTGACATGGGTGGGGAGCCATTGGAGATATTTTTGGAGCCAAAAGAGAAACGAGAGGGAATTAGAAACAATGGAATTTCAATAATATTCTAAGCAAAGTGCGGGATGCCAGCAGTAAAACTTACTGATCAGGGTGGGGCTGTTGGTAAAATTTGCTGATTGGAGGAGGGGGGAATCGCACCGGAGGATTGGATAGGCAATTTTTTTTCCACTTCCTCTTTTGCTAAGGTTAGTCTTGAATTTTTGCATGCATTCCTTCCATGTCTACCACTCTAGTGAGACAGTATCAGACAAGGAGGATGTAATGTTAGTTTTGTATCTTTGAGCAGATTTCTTCTAGTGAACAACCAGTAGACTCCAGTGGTAAAACAAAGCTGGGTAGCATGAAGTCTCTAAGTAGAGTAGTTCCTTACAGCTGTGACGGGGGCAACTTTGTCAACCCTGAAATCTGTCTCTAAAAACACAAATTACATACAAATTGCTGTCATTTAAATGATCATATTATGTTATATCCTTAAATGTAACTAATGGAGATTCTGTCTTCATGGGGCCCCTAGTTTCTGGGGGCCCCAGGCAGCTACCTACCCCAGCCTTTTGCTAAGTCTGCCCGTGCATGCACATAGTATACTCACAGTAGTATAATCACACATAGTAATAGTGTTAATCAAGAGAGTATAATAGAATAAATAAAAAGTAGTGCAATAATTAGCATTCTGAGTAAATTGTCTGGCTCAGTTTAAAAAGGGCGAGAGGGGCTCTGAAAGATGTCTTTCAGTGCCTCTCTGGACTCAGGCTATATCTTGTGACAGGACTTCTGTACTACAGACCAGTAATCTGGTTTGAATTCATCTCCTCTGGAGCTCAGTTCACTTGGGGTAAATATACAAAGTAACACTTTTAAAGTAATCCTATGGGGTGAATCTGGGATCTGCTCTTCCATGTGTGAAGCTGGATCATCCACCTTGGCATCTTCTGAGGACATCTGACCGCCATTTGAAGTGGATCACACGCTTCTCTTTCAACGCACCAGTGACTCGTCATTATATTTATTTCTGAATTAACGTTCAGCAATGAATGGATTATACTTCATCAGCCAATGTTTAAAATAGTATGTGAATGTTTTTCATTTTAAATTCGAGGCAATAAAATGTTTTTAGGGAAAGATGAAACAAGTAGCGAAAAAAAACTTTTTAGGTGTAAAAGCAGCCTTGTGATTGGGTCGCACTTTTCATCTCACACCTCCAGCCTGGAGCCGCATGTTCATTGCCCAGCTGCACCCATACCTCATTCTTTCCTACATCACACGAATCAGAGGCCACTCAACACACAAGCCTCAGCTGGGAGGATGCTCCAACTCGCTTTCCACATGGAGAACCATTCTCTCCACTCAGTGTTTGGGAGCATTTCTTTCCCGTTCGGCTTTAGGCCTGGAGCCCTGTTTTCTTGGCCTCTGTGTGCCGCTCCCTGCCTCCTCTAATCTCCACTTCCTAACGACACCTTGGATGGAGCTCAGCTTGTTCTAGGAAGCCCCAGAAGGCCTCAGGATTCTGTGATGAAAGCAGAGCAGGAACTAGCTCCCTTCCGTGATGAATTTCTTCTAACTAATGGTTCAAGAGTTGTGCCTGCAGGGCTCAGAGCAGAAATAGGCAGCCACTGTTTTCTGAGTGTCAAAAATGTCAAACTCAAAGGCAGTGACCTTTCAGCCTTGGCTGAGGTCCAGTTCTTCCCTCACTAAATGAAAACGCAGATCATTCTTTGGCACAGACCGCTTGTGTGTTTGTGTGTTTCTGCTGTGCTCTGCAGTGAAAATGGGGGCAATGACCCAGTTCGTTAAAAAGAGGCAATTAGCACTGCCTCTGAGAGCAGATGTACCTTCTCCCAGATTGGGTCACAGCACAGTCTCTGGTATTTCTCACTGTGTAAATCTGAGGGTTTACGGGCCCTGGTGGTCCTGGAAAAACACCCTCACACACCGTTAACACATTGAGAGGGCGTACTCGCGGCCTAATCAGTAGACCCCTGAGGAAGGACTGCAAAGCAATAAAAGAATCTGTAAATCTGAGAACAAGCGGAGCCTGTTTGACCCACCAATCCCATGAGGCCTTGCAGATTAATGACTCCAAATCTGGAATTGGGCACAGCTGGCTGCAGACTGCGAATCGTGCCTGCACACACGACAGAGGGCTGTCACCTGTAACAGTGTGGCAATGAAATCCCAAAACCAAAAGTATTTTTAGGTTAAGCACTACAAATTCCATGATGCACATTCATGCTGTCGATCTTACAGCTCAGCCGGGGGTCTTATGAGCTCATTCTTGATTAACACCCCCCACCCCTTGTATTCCCTGGCAGATACTACATTCTGGAAAATCGACCCCGGAATATCTATGGGATGGTGTGTCACTCCTGTCAGAACGCTCCAAAGAACATCAAAGATTGTAAGTTTCCGGCCTGCTGTTATCCCTTTTATTTAGCTCTTTCCAAAACACTCCCCTTACCAGCAAAGCCACACCATAAGTGATCCTTTGAAGCTTTGGACAATTAATCGAAAGTATAACTCTGCAGAGCTGCAGATTAGTTGCATGTAGAGGGAGTCGGTTCCGTGGATGAGTTTTCAGTGTGAGTTTTCGAGGGACTCTGGGTCTGCATCCGGAATGGCTGTGATCTGTCAGCTGACACCCGCTCTGACATCTTGTGGGGACCCGCTCACCCTGCCGGATGGGCCACTTCCCGACCGCTTGTCTTGTGGCAAAATGCGCATGTTGTTCCATGCATCCCTGCCTATTTTCTCTCAGAATCACTCAGTGAGGATAAATGATTACATTTGTTTCGGGCTGCATGCGTTGGGGCATACACTTCCCAGGATGAACCAGAACCTAGATCAAACTGGGACTGTTGCTCTGAAATGGCAGTGGCATAACTTAGAACCTAAAATGGCCTTGATGGCACCAAGATAAATAAGGGAGGATCCTCTGGAATGCGTCATCTGTGAGGCTTCCAGGGCTTGATGGACTCTCATTGGTGCTCTCTGGCCCAGCCTAGTGGTCAGCAGGCCTTCCATAACATTAGCCACTTGCTGATTTCGCCAAATACCTAAAGAACAGAGAGATGCATTATGGGAAGGCGCATCATCGGAAAGCTAAAACGTCTCAACAATGCAGCAAAGCCGAGGCCGTGACATGCTTATCCATCACATTTCAGTAGCACAGATATAAATGGGTGCTGAGTGAAAGGGACAAGGGAATGCAGATGTGCCTGTGCAGAGCAGCTGTTGGTGTTTGCTATACAAGAACAGGCTGACAAGCAGGTCGTAGTCCATGCTTCAGAGCTCAAAGAGACAGAGAAGAGCTCTGTGATAGCTTGGGTGTCACTGGGAAAGGGACACGGAGGGGGAATGTGAGGAAACAGGGAGAGAGGGAAAGAGAGGGGGAGAGACTGGCCCTCCTCTGCAGGCTGATTCGAGGTGCTGACACTTGCCTTCCGCTTCTTACAGGGACATTGTTGCATGGGTTTGATTAGCAGAGGATGTAAGACACATCCTCATTCACACTGTGAGGATTATCAGTTGTATAGTCTCCTCAAAAACACCTGGGTTTTCCAAGGCCAACAACCAACCGCCTCAAAGCCCGTTAGAAACACTGCAATTAATATAGAAGACAACAGGATATGATTTGCTCATACCTCAAAACAAAACAAAAAAATCACCTGCAACTGAGAAACTCATATAATTCTTCGCTTGCATTATTGCTAAACCTCTTTGGAAGTTCAAATACTTCAACAAGTGCTGGGAATCATAATAAATGCTGTCCAGTCAAACAGAGTGCCTGCATAGAGGCCGCGCTTCTGAGCAAACACTTGAACCAAATGTTTGAAAATGCCAGACGTGGTGTTACTTGTTGGAGGCTCAGGCAAGCTTATGACTGTCAGGTAATCTGCAAATCATTCAAGCTCCAAGCAGTTTCTCATATAATTTCAAGTATAGAAGGGAAAAGGATTAATTTCCTGTTTCTGCTTGCAGCAGATATACCATTAAAAAGCCCAGTCTCCCTGACAGCTCTCTCTTCTTAATTTCTTGTTTATGCTGAATGTCTTGGGTGGTTTTGATGGGATCGTACAATAAAATTAGATGTTTTCTCAAAAGCTGTTGCAAAAAAACGGATAACAAATGTAGTTATTCTACATTAAAAAACCTCACAAATAAATACTGGATCTGAAACAGTGGTGTCATCAGTGGTGGAAGTGATTAAATAAAAAGAACATGATATTTGTATAAAAAAGCAGCTCAGTACATGTTCAGATTTTGAGTCCTGAATGGGCTTGTTTGCACCACATCCCAGCAAGGGCTGTCTGCCCCGTTTGTCAGGATAGGATTTGCGACAAAGCCTGTTACACACGCGTTCCCTGTGACTCGATACTATGGCTATAAACCATGCAGCTGATCTACATAGTGTCTGTATGCCGAGGAGGGGGACCACTGTTTGAGTTACAGTTAACCTCAGTGCCTGGGAGAGGAAATATGAGGCACTTTGATAGATAATGACATTAATAATTGGTCATAATTGAGGGCCTGCCGATGCCAGAAACCCATAATGTCTAAAGAGGGCTTATGATGGATTACGACGCTCAGCCAAGTCAGTGATAAACTGCAGCGGTACTCTGATTTTACATGGTCTGACAGGCTCTGCGTGCCACCCGAAGGCAGAAACCCATCAGGCAAGGCGTTCAAGAGCTCGTACACCAAGCACAGGTGTTACGAATGCGTGAGGCTATCAGAGCAGAATGAGAGGCAGGATTCATCGATGGAGGATCAGTTAGTAAAGACCAGCCACGTTGTTCATTCATCAACAGAAAGGTTCATTTATGACTATGAAGCTAAACAGAAACACAACCGTCCACTTGGACTAATCCTGTTCTTATATGTGTAAAGACCACAGCCTATCTGTCTTTTTAGAATTGGAAAACTTGGTGAGTTTAGACTCACGTGTCAACGCCTCCAAAACAAATGTTGTCAGTTAGAAATATTTTTTCTCAAACTGTTCCTAGTCTTTCATAATGACCTTCTCTCATTAACCTGCTTAACTAATTAATCGCGTCCGGGTGAGTTTCACAATAAGGTGCTTACTGTTCACCACAGAACATGTGCAGTAGGCCAGGCCCACATTTTCTGCAAAACAGGACACACTGTCATCAGGCTGTCGAAGCCAACTGGCCCAGAGTTGGCCAAACGTGCCAGCAGGATGACTTAAAAAAGCTCATTTGCTGTGCTGTTTATTATTCTATTTGGCTTCGGAGTTCTGTACCCTGCGTCTGGATTCTGTGATAGCCATATGTCCTCCTAATGACTAACACATTTGCAGCTGTGCTCTTATAATCTCTCAAGCAGGGCAGCGTTGTGACGAGTGCGGTGACATGCCCAGTGACGAGCCCTATTGTCATTGCAGGTGCGCGAACCCCAGCTGTGTTGCCGGGGCGGGCCCCCAGTGTCCCCTCCACCAGCACCACCATCTTGCCACACCCCCACAATGGTAAGGGAAGCACATAAATACACTTGGCCTTCCGCATGTGCAGATTCCACATCCGCAGATTCAATCAACCGCAGATCAAAAATATTAAAAAATAAATAAAAACTCCAGAAAGTCCCTGAAAGCAAAACTTGAATTTGCCACGCGCCGAGCACTACGCTGATGCGTAGGTATACCCTGCTGTAGCGTACGCAATCTGCACGTGTTGAAAGAAGGAAAAAGTTATATTAACTGGTACCTTGGTTTACCAGCATAATTCGTTCTGGAAACATGCTTGTAATCCAAAGCACCTGTATATCAATGTGAATTTTCCCATTAGAAATAATGGAAACTCATATGATCCGTTCAACTCAAAAATATTCATATAAAAATTATTAATACAAATTATAAAGTAAAAATACATAAAACAAATTAACCTTTGAAAACAATCGTGGATGGTGTGAGGGAGACGAGAGAGGAGAAGAGGAGGGTTATTTTGTAGGACGACTTTCACTATAATTAACCACTATAATTAACGGAATCACTGCTATCTGTTGGCTCACTGGAATCTTTTTCTGTTTGTGCGACTTTAACAAGGAACCCATCCAATGACAGCCTCTTTTGCCTCCTTTTCGATTTTGCAAAAATGTGGACTAAAAATGTGGCTGTTTCATTGTCGTTAAACAGATTCATCGCTCGCACTGCTACGCCCTTATTCAGGTGGTGCTTTTCTACTTAATTTTGACTATACGAGTGAGGCATGCCGACTGAGACCGAGCATGGGAGACGATTACCCACAATTCCGCAGCGTGAGAAAGTGAATAACCATTGGTTCAGTTGTGATGATGTGCACTCGGCGTCAGAACAAGAAGCGCACGCATGCGCTTCCTGTTTTGAAGCCGAGTGCACGTAAAAACAAGAAAAACAAGGAGCGCATGTGTGCCATAAGATTTTTGATGATACTTGGCGCTCGTAAACCAGGACTTGCTCGGTTTCCAAGTCAAAATTTATTAAAAATCTTTGCTCGTCTTGCGGAACACTCGTAAACCGCGTTACTCGTAATTCGAGGTTCCACTGTATGTTGCTGACAGGTACTATGTAGTTAGGTCTACCATGGTTGTGTCCATGTACAGACTTTTTTTTGGCCCTAAGCAATACAGTATAACGATTATTTACATAACAGTTACATTGTACTTGGTATTGTAGGCAATCTAGAGATGTTTTATAGTAAATGGGAGGATGTGTCTGAGCTACATGCAAATACGACACCATTTTACATAAGGGATTTTCCATCTGCGGATTTTGGTATCAGCAGGGGGTCCTGAAACCAATCCCCCGTGAATACAGAGGTACGACTGTACTCATTTAAGGTTGTGAATCTGAAAATCCTACATAGCTACCGTCGCCTTGGCTTTAATGTGAGGTGTGAAAGTGTTTCTATGCTGTGAATGTCTCTGTCTTTACATTGTACAGGACTGAACCCAAACACCATCAACCTGGCCTGCTTGGCATTAAAAGACTCTTGTTGTATTTTGATCCTTGTGGATACATTCTCCTTCTGTGTGAACCAGATCTACTGATGTTTGGTCATCTGTTCCCTAGATATGACAGGACAAGGCCACTTGGCGACAGCTCTGATCATCGCCATGTCAACCATATTCATCATGGCCATCGCCATTGTGCTCATCATCATGTTCTACATCCTTAAAGCCAAGCCCAGCAGCCAGGGTAGGTCTCCTTCTCAGAGGTCCCACACTGAGGGGGGTCCACATGTTTCCGCAGAGAGCTGGATCTTGGAAGACATTCATTTGATTTCTCCTTCATCTCCAGCCTGCTGTACAGGTCAGGTGGTGAAGACAGTTGAGTCACAAGTCACCAAAGGAGAGGACAAGAAAGAGGTTCAAGGTGAGGAACTTATATACACAATCCATAGTATTGTAGTTAAGAAGAAGTTTACCTTCAGTGTGTGAAACAGGGACAGCCATCCAAAAACAAAGATAGAAACAGATGACTGTAATATTTACATGTATTTAATGCCAGTCAAGTACTTCACTTCAAAAATAAACACTTTCCGAAGTAACAGGGAACCTTCTCAGAATATCTGAGCTGATCAGCACAATGACATTATTACCTGAACATCCATTAACACAATTACTGTTGTTATTGTTTTGTAATAGAATATTATTTCACGAAAGTGCGACATGTATATAGTGCAAACACACCTCCCAGCCTTAAACTCATGACCTTCGCTATACCATGCTCTACCATGGCCATCACTTGTTTTCATGTTATTAATCTTAGATGTAGCAGTGGGATGATGTTTTGGGAACATCAGGAATACTGGACACCTTGAACATTTCCTTACCTTAATCGTAATGTTCAGGGTAGTTTAATCATGATTATTCTGGCATCAATTTCTCCTTCTCTTCCATTTCTGTTTCTCAGACCCTTTTTAATCCTCATCTTTGCGTACATACAGAGCCTAAGAAGCATACCCACACAGCAAAGTAGTAGGGCTGTACCCGACTCAGAATTTTGGCAATCAAATCGGATTTAACTTCAATATGAATATTCGACTATTCTGTGAAACTTTGTTCAACTTGTGCCAAAAGTTCCAGCTGAATTGAAGTTGAGTGCCCCTGCTGACTTGTAGGTGAACTAGTAATCACAGCCTCAACTATTGCACACAATTCAGAGACACCTGCCTTATCACTGACCGGACCCCAATCTCCCCAACACACCCAACCCGCAGGTTATGGGTAGACTAGTCACTACTGCCCAGATAATTGCTAATGTGGATTTTTTTTTGTTAGCAAGTGCCCTGCTAGAATATAAAAGTATATTTATGATTCCCCTTATTTGTAATTCCTCATTGAAATGTCATCCCTTTTGTAAGCTACTGTTATTGTTATGCACTCTGACTGAAGAAAAAAGAAAATGGATTGTTGGACTTTAACAATCACATTCACGAGTCCACTGAATATTTGAATCATTGACTTTCAGGGAACAACCCTACTTCATAGAAATTTTGTATTTTTACCCCAGACTGATTGGACATGCACATAATCTGTGCTGTTTAGGATGGCAGGGGCGATTAGACACCTGAGAAAGTGGCATGCTGTACTCCACAGACCAGGATTACATCCACTGTGGGGCCATGGGTCAGAGATGAGGGTCCGGCCCTTTGAAACCCCAGCCAAGAAAACAATGTTTGAAACAGCGTGGTTTCCTGCTTGGGCTCTCATGGAGGCTAATGAAGCTTCAGGCTTCATATCTAAGCTGTGTGTGGTGTGGGTACTTCACATGCTTTCCCTGTGACTGTGAGGGATTCCCCCCACAGCGAGATAAACATGTGGCCGGGTTTCCCTAAACTGTGTGCAGGCTGTGATCCTCATAACTGCTCGATGGAGCGACCTTCACGCTCACTGTGAAATGCTAAAGGAGCTTTTCCCAGAGGCGGCCTTGAAGAATTACAGTCCATGCCAAGCTTTTAGTCAATGTACAAACAGCATTAAATATCCATGCCTGGTAGCACTGTGATTGACACTCCTGGTGAAGGCTTGAGTAAATCCTCCCTTCAGGTGGTGTGATGCAGGACAGCTGCCTGAGAGACACGCTGGAAACGTAGGGGTCCTAACTCTCTTCCCTGTCTGGGATTGTCAGAGGCACCAAGGATGAGCGAGTACTCTGACCCCTTTGTGATGTGTCTTTAATATCATAAACTATCCAGTTATTTCCCCCGTATTGATTCCTGTCGAATTCACAAAAAATTCATCTCCTCCCCTGCGGCTTTCTGCATGACCTGTAGGGAATCACTGGTGTCTGACAGGTTTTCAAAGACTTGTATCGCTTAGTGTCTTTAAGGCACTCCCCAGCTGTGTGTAACCCTGGTGTGTGTTCACAGAAAACGTAGTGATCTTCACTGAAACGGACGGATTCGACAAGCTGAAACCCACCCCACCGAAGACAGTGAAAAGGTAAGCGGGAAGTGACATCACCGTCAGAATGGCGTGTGGCTCAGTGGGTTAGACCTCTGTGCTAGTGAGTGAAAGGTTGTCAGTCTGAATCCCCTCAGTGGCAGCATAGTTGCATCTCTGTTAAGCTCTTTGGCAGGATCCTTAACCCAGTGAAAAATGCTTTAGAAACACCAGATTATTATCTGATCTTGTGCTCAGACCCCAAGCTTTGCTCTTACGTGTGTGTGTGTGTCTCAAAGGAGAACAAAATATGTGAAAACTAAAAGAAATCCGATGTTCTTTTGCAAATTGAAGAATTGTTTCATTTCACAAAATTTGTAGGACTTCAGAGAGAATGATTATTCTGATTATAAATGTGTACGTGCCAAATGCTTCAAAGAAAGGGGAATCTGGATAAAGCAGAAAAACATGTCAATCATGGTCATCCATCGGACAGGCAGGGCTCCTGCTTTTGACTTTAGGGCAGAGAAAGGCAGAAGTTCTGCCACAGAAGGCGGCTACACAGACGCAATTTTAATCTGCTGAGGATAATTAAGTTACCACAGAACAAGCTCCAGCAGCGGAGCCTTTCAGTGTGCAGCTCTGCATGTGCCTTTTCAGATGGGTACAGCACACCCAAAAAACTAAATTCACTCCAGGATTTAGCACCCGGAACAATGTTCCGCTTGGGATGAAGGACCCCAGGGTCGTGGCCTCGAGGAGATGCATACAGATGCAGAAACAGTGGAGTAAGGGAGGATTGTACGTAGCCTCATGCCAAAAGCACCTGGTTAGGAATGCACACTGTAAGGGGCAGGGTCTTCACTGCCCAGAGCCTTTTCACATAACTGTGGGAAAGTGCGGCCCCACAGCACACAGATCCTAAGGAGGTACTTTTCTATGCCATGTTTTATGTGGTCAGAATACACACTCTCACACACCACACAGAGATCTGCACTTATATCTTTGTGGGGACCATCCATTCATTTTTATGGGCAAAACTGTAATCCCAACAATGACAGACTTAACCCCTACCCAGCTCCAACCTTAGCCTTAACCTTAGTAACTAAACATAAGGCTTTTGGCGTTTTTAGTTTTTTGATTGCAATCACATATTTTTTATAAAATTGAATTTTCCATTGTGGGTGCTGAAAAAAAAGATCCCCACAACGTCAAAATAACAGGTTTTTGTCACACTGTGGGGACATTTGGTCTATTTCTGACACACACTCTTGCACACACAAACGCACACACATACACTTGTGCAGCTATATGGATGCCATAAAGCTGGGCCGTGCTTGACCGCAGGGTAGCCTCCTGGCTGCTATAAGGCCCCTTTCCTTGTCACCTCGTCACCATGAGGGCGGAGCTGTGGGGGCTGGCAACAGCGCTAATCCACAGAGGTGGGTGCCAAGCCAGTGCGGGTGTCGGATGACGCAGGAACAATGGCACTCTGTGGCATCCCCGCACTCTCAGCTTCAAACAAAGGAATTTTGCTGGCATGGCTGAGAGAGGGGGCACGAGAAGGGCAGCTGCCATCTGCGGGCCACAGCCCACTGGCATGGCCGCACGACACCGGCAGTACCGTGACGGCCATAGGGAAAGGGGAAACTCGCCACAGGCAGAGCACTGACTGTTTCCCCCTCTGCAGTGAGAACGACGCCTCCTCAGAGAATGAGCAGCTGCTGAGCCGCAGCATCGACAGCGACGAGGAGGCGTCACTGGAGAAGCAGGGGGCTGCCGACCTGTGCCTGCTGTCGCTGGTGCACCTCAGCAGGGACAAGGCCGGCAACGCCAGCCCCCTCTGCGGCAAGATTACCGGGGTGAGGCAGTCTGTAAACACAGAGGTGGCAGAGAGAGGGCCATTCATTATGACACTGACTACACACTACATGACAGCACTACAGACAGCATAGGTTTTCCAGGGAATCCTGACTACAGACAGTGCAGGTATTCCAGGGAATCCTGACTACAGACATCAGAGGTGTTCCAGGGAATCCTGACTACAGACAGCATAAGTATTCCAGGGAATCCTGACTATAGGCAGCATACATATTCCAGGGAATCCTGACTACAGACAGCATAGGTATTCTAGGGAATACTGACTCCAGACAGGACAGGTATTCCAGGGAATCCTAACTACAGACAGCACGGGTATTCCAGGGAATCCTGGCTACAGACTGCACAGGTATTCCAGGGAATCCTGACAACAGACAGCAGAGGTATTCCAGGGAATACTGACAACAGACAGCATAAGTATTCCAGGGAGTCCTGACTACAGACAACACAAGTATTCTACAGAATACTGACTGCAGACAGGACAGGTATTACAGGGAATCCTGACTACAGACAGTGCAGGTATTCCAGGGAATCCTGACTACAGACAGTGCAGGTATTCCAGGGAATCCTGACTACAGACAGCAGAGGTATTGCAGGGAATCCTGACTACAGACTGCACAGGTATTGCAGGGAATCCTGGCTACAGACAGCAGAAGTTTCCAGGGAATCCTGACTACAGGCAGCATAGGTATTCCAGGGAATCCTGGCTACAGACAGCACAGGTAGTTCAGCAGGAGCCCTCTATCAGGGCCCAGGGTGTAAGAACATTAAAATGACTCACACATCTAGGCAGAAGGACGTGCAGTGTCTGACAGGATAGACCAAATGCTACACTATTACGAAGTTTCAAAACCACAATACAAGACAATAGTCATCTCTGTGCCCTTAACCGAGGGTTATTTGGTTGACATATTGCAAAAAATGCTCCCCACTGGCTAAGATCTTCATCTCAATAATGACCCACATGTCGCCCTGCCAAAACTCTTTGTTCCCTTCGTTTTGTTAATGTAGATTCAGAGTCGGAGGAGAAAGATCCTGGACCTTTACGCGAAGGTGTGCAGTGACGCTGAGGGTGAGTTTCCTATGATAATCCACTGGCCTAACTGCCAGTAAGCGGCACAGTGGCTCCTGGGCAGTTGAGACCCACAGCCAAGTAGGTCACATATAATCATACTGGAGGGGATAGCAGTCAATCCCAGGTCATGTATGCATACACACATTTACACACTATGGGTGAATATACTATGGGTGCATATCATTGAACGTGCAAACACAGGGAGAACATGCAAACACGGGGAGAACATGCAAACATGGGGAGAACATGCAAACATGGGGAGAACATGCAAACACGGGGAGAACATGCAAACATGGGGAGAACATGCAAACATGGGGAGAACATGCAAACACGGGGAGAACATGTAAACATGGGGAGAACATACAAATACGGGGAGAACATGTAAACATGGGGAGAACATGCAAACATGGGGAGAACATGCAAACATGGGGAGAACATGAACTTGACATACACAAATCAGAGCAGGTACTTTTATCATGTGATTATTCTTAATTTTATGTTTTACAAAAATGGCACAAAACTAGGGCATTATGGGTATACGGCAGAGACACACTGGTTTGTATGGATCTTTCTCTCCCTTGGAGGGTGTTTGCATCTCTAGGAGGCTTCTGAGCGTCAGTCACTGTGAAGCACCCTCCCAGTCACCCAACCCCCCCATCCTTGTGCCCCCCAGGCTTGAGCCCGACCGAGCTGCCCTTTGATTGCCTGGAGAAGACTAGCCGGATGCTGAGCTCCACGTACAGTGCAGACAAGGCTGTGGTGAAGACGTGGCGCCACCTGGCAGAGAGCTTTGGTTTGAAGCGGGACGAGATTGGCGGCATGTCGGACGGCATGCAGCTGTTCGACCGCATCAGCACGGCAGGGTATAGCATCCCCGACCTGCTCACTAGGCTGGTGCAGATCGAGCGGCTTGACGCCGTAGAGTCGCTGTGCGCCGACATCCTCGGAAAGACAGGGGGCGCCTCGCCCACCAGCCCTGCTCTCTCCTTCCGATGCGCCAGCGTCTAAATAGATCCCACCCCTATGGCTCCGGCATCAATATGAAGAATTTCTGATGGCCTTGGTACACAAATGGGAAGATGAGCCACTGCAGTCTAGCGCCCCCTTCCCTAAAGTGCCTGTATATCATCCTATCTCTCTATCAAGGTCTTAAAAAAAAAACAAAACGGGTGTTTATGGAAGTCTAACCCTATTTCTTATTTCTCTCAAAACCTCTGGTGCTGGACGCTATAGAAACCTTTGTAGGGAACTTTTCCCATCTGTTGTGGAGACCTGTGGTTAATTATGATATGAGGAGACAACCTGACTCAAAGGTTACTGCAATTTATTGCAACGCTGGTAGCAGGTTCACTTTCACATGCCTTAAAAATCATGATGATACTGAAAAAAATTCCAGCTCCCACATCACATGAAGTCAGGCGTGATCTTTGCACTGGTGCTAACACTAGCCAGCACTGCAGATGTGCGCCACATCTGTCAAAACGTTAATACCAGCATTTAGGTTTTCACGTCGGAGTAGAAGTAACTCCCTATGTTACTGTGTGTGCATGTTTGTCTGGAAAGCTCTAATGGCTGAAGTTTTCAGAGGCTCCTCTCTATTAACGAGCAGACCTCGTTAAAGCGTGTCTGAGGGTCCCCGCATACCATAAACCCTTTGTCGGCCACGCAGGATGCCATGAATGTCTCCTGCGGTTTTTAATTGCCTAATATGGGGCAGTTAACAACAGCAGTGCCAAGTGGCCGTGATACCCAGCTCCCCATCTGCTAATAAAGTCCAGAGTGAAGGCACTGCAGCACCCTGTCTGTTAATAATTCATTTTTGCAATTAATAATAATTGTTGTCCTATGCTAGGTTCTAAAAGCATATATCTACTAAAATTACAAAGATCTTTGGATGTTTTCTCCCCACAATAAGCCACCCAACCTTAAGCCCCCTTGCTCTTAAGACCAAGAGGGATTTTGCAATGCAGTTGTGTGGCACGCTTGCCCTTAGTCTTAGTCTAAGGCACGCTTGATTTTTTCTTTATAGACAGGCACAGAGGGAGAACTGTATATGGAGCAGGTCTCTAGCTATGGAAATGAGTATAACTGCATGCATGATGACTCATTTAGCATGTTTCAAGAACATCTAAACCTTTGCTTTGTCTAAAAAATAATACGGAAGATTGTATCATTTTATGAAACTAAATGGAAATGCCTTAGAGTGTCCGGTGACTAACATACATTATCTACAAGCCAATACACTTACCTCATCTACATACTGTGTGAAAGTAGGGAAGCAGAGAATGAAAACAATGTAAATGTATATATAACTTATTACTGTACATATGCATCAATGAAAACAGTAAAATCAATAAAAACATATAAATGTACTCTTGTGTCAGTTATTGCAGTACATCACCTTATCGTTCTTTTCACAATTTAATACACATTAAAAAATGAACTGAAAAACAAAGTAAGGAAGGAACAAACGAAAGAAGAGCCCTGAGGTGCGCAGGCTGCACTCTGTGTTCTGAGGTTTAGCTAGGAGATACTCATTCTTAAGTCAGCTCAATACAAAAAGAAGTATAATTAAGTTTAATCCCCATTCCCCTTAATTATTTTAATTCGCATCAGTAAACGTAACGTCTGTCATTAGAAAAGAAAAGGTAGCGTTAACAAGCATACACGTGCTCGGCCCTCGCTGCCAGCCGTCTCTCTAAAACAATCCTGGTCTGGCCTGCTCACTACCTGCGGGGCCACTGGGCATTTTCCACACAGCACCACCCTCCCCCTCCCCCTATGCTCGTGACCCGGGGCTGGGGGGGGGGGGGGGTGTCTTCTGCCTGGCTCTCTCTTTCTCCAAACCCAAATCAAGTCAAGCAATTAAAGCAATTATAACAGCTAGGCTACGTGATTAATAGCCAACCGGGGCTCCGGGCAGTTTCAAGGCTCCACACAGGCCTCTCTTTGTTCCAGTGGGGGGGGCTGAATAAGGTGGGGTGCTCCATAGAGGCAGAGATGTTCCTGTGACTTGCTGCAGTCTCACACTTGGCATGTTAGAGAAAAGAGATCTGTGTCTGATCTCACCAATGGGAGCTTCATTTCATACAGCTAATGACAATCACTCTCTCTGACTTCACTGCTAGGTTTGGAACATCCAGTCTCACGTTTGACCTTTATGCATCACCTGCTCTCCATACTCTCCGTGCTTTGTAGGGATGTGAGGTGGCTTAGGCAGGACCAGGAATGACTGCGTAAC